CAAGTCCTGAAGTTGAGTTTGAGAGGCGACACGGCGGCGGCGGCCGCGCTGCTCCCGCTCCTCTGCCTCCCCATGGATATGCACTGCAAAGCAGACCCCTTCTCCGCGATGCACCGTGAGTACCGGCGCCCGGCTCCTGTCCTGGCTCGGGGCTCCCTGTCCCATCTGTCCTGTCCCAGCCTGGTCCTGGCCCCTAGCACTCATGTCCCATCTTGGAGGCCACCCTCGCTTATCCTGGTCCCCCCTTTCGTTCTTCCTCTTTCCTTCATTTCCTAGTTTTTCTAAAACCCCCAGTTCCTCTTCCTTCTGCCTTCTGTCACCCATACTTTTTCTACTGCCTTCCTACCTTCCCTGGTGCCCATCACCTTTCTTCCTTCCACCTGCTTCTTCTTAGTTTGTGGTTACACAGCCCCTGACCCTGGCTTCAGCCACCCTACTCCCTGGCCACCCTCTTGCCTAGGGCTGGGGGGCTAACGGGCAGGTAGCTTTCAGTGTTTTGTGTTGTGTTTTCTCTCTCTTTCTGTTTGCCTCCCCCTCCCCCCCCATCTCTACCTTTCTCAAACTTAGAATGTGGTTGTCCAGGAGGAAACTCCTAGCAGGGACAGCCTCAGTGTCAGGACAATCAGGCAGAAGAGTGTGGGGGTGGTGTGCCCCCTTCTGACCCTCAGCTCCCAGCATCTCCCGGCCCTACCAGCCCAGCGGAAGCTTCTTGTGGGTTGGTTTGAAATCATTCCTCTTCTTTTCTTTCTTACTTCCCTTCCTTCTCCTTGCCCATTTCTGGAGTTGGAAGTCTGAGATTGGCAGTACGTGGTGGTCATCTCTCTGCCTCTCCCTGGGAGATGCTCTAAAAACAAAGAGGGGTTCCAAGGAGAAATCGAAGTCAGCGATAGATCGTGTAGAGGAGCCTTCCAGGCGGTCCCTGAGCAGAGCAAAGCTCTGCTTCTAGTTCTGGAGGCTCCTTGCCTGCCTCCCACTCCCTGGTAAGGATAGTCCAGCCAGTAACCTGGCCAGGGGGGGTAGGAAAAGAGGGAGAAAAGGAGGGCGGAAGAACAAAAGGAAGGCAAATGCCAAAGCTAGGGGGAAAAGAGAGAAATCATCAAGGGGAAGGAAAGAAAAGCCAGAAAAGAGAAAGAATGTTACAGGAAAAAAAGAGAAGGGGAGAAAATAAATGAAAAATACGAAAAGAGAATTATTTTGATGAAATTTGAATTTATCTAATTCTTGTCATATGTCTTTAGCTTGGAAAACAATTCAGTTTTTTTGAAGGCTTGCTTTTTAGACAAATAGATTCTAAATAGAAAACTTCTCCTCTGTAGATTAATAATTAAGCATGATTTGTAACTTTTCACAGGGAAACTTTTTAGAACTGACTTGGATCTGTGCTGCGGACAAGAGAGCCCAGGAGGGAGAGCTGTGTTTTTCTCTAAGCATATATTTAGCATGTATCTCGGGGAGCTTTAAAACATACTACAGGGGTAAAATATATTTCCCTAAATAATTTCCAAGCACAGGAAATCCGAACCAGGGGCCTCCGGCTGCTGCTGCTTTCTGCGAGCCAAGCCTAAAATCCTGGCTCCTTTTCGGAGAGAGTGGAACCCGGTCCCACGCCGTCTTCGCCCAGCCCGCCGACCTCCTGGTCCTGCTGCCTCTGCTCCCTCTCTCCTATCTTGCCGATTCCTCGGGGGATCTGCCGAGTTCTGGCCGCCTACTGGGTGCCACTTTGAAACCCAAAGGGGAGCCAGGCGAGCTGAAGGCGGTTGGAGGAAGGGAGAGACCAAGGTGCGGGCAGGAGGGCGGGCTGGCCGGTAAGCAGCCGCAGCCGGAGTCGGCGCCGGCGGCAGTGGCGCATTCCAGGCCGGAACTCAGCGCCGGCTCTCGGTCCGAGCCCTGGACTCCCGCCGAGCCCTCTTCCCATGCCCACCCCTTAGACTGGGGTCGAGGGGCCAGGCCCCGAGCCCGGGAAGGCTGAATTATTCATCTTTAATCTGCCCGCAGCTGCCGCCTTTTCATACCGGTAACGCGAGTTCTCCCGGGGCCTAAATTATTGATGGTCGGGTTTGGAGGGAGGGGAGGGGTGAGGAGTGGGGTTAGAGGCAGGGAGACTAGCATGGATGAGGGGTAGAATAAGAGGCTCCGGTCCCCCCACCCCCAGCCTCTAGATCAGAGGCCTCTCCTCAGGCGTTCCGCAGGCCTCTATTCTCGGTACCCCTAGGAGGGGATGGGAGAGGAACGAGCGAGGTACAGATCTCCCCGCTTTCTCCGAAAGTCACCTGAGGCCAGCAGAACAGGGGCTGCAGGTTGCTGGCCCGGTCCGGTCAGACTCTGCTGTTAGAACTCTGCTCTTGGATTGCTCGGTAACTGCAGCTGCAGGTTGATGGCTCTGGGTGCAGGATTTCTAGATTGCTGTAAGTCAGGGGGAATGGGGCGCCAGGCAGCACCCTCAGGCCTGGTATCCGAGGACCACCTTGGCTTCGAGGTTGGTGACCCAGCACCTTCCTCTTCCCCAAGAGAGCAGACGCCCTCGCTTCCCGGTTTTCTGGGTGGCTACTGAAGTCTAAGAGGTTAAAGGGAGAGCTGGCTCGGGCTACCTGCACAGGGTGCCCCGTGAGCCCTCTGTCAGCCTGGGCGACCTGTACCATGCATCCTGGGCAAGTCCGTGGGCCCCAAGCTTGGTGCAGCGCGGCAGGCCGGCGAACCCAAGCAGTCTGCGTTCTGCGGCTGCTACCTGGAACCGCGAGGCTCTCCACTGCTTCTCTGTCTCTGAGCGCAGCAGACTCTGGGCCCCTGCCTCTTCAGTCTTCCCTCCTCCACTTGCCTTTCTTTGAACTTTAGACACTAGGGAGGCGAAGGGGTAATATGGCTCCCCAAATATCTAAAGGTAGAAAACATAAAGGAAAGAAAAACTCCTGATCAAAAAACAAAACAAAAACACAGGGAAGAGGGTAGGAAAACTCTAACTTCGAATTAAAATAAATACAAGGAAAGAGATAGGAAGCAAAAAGGGGGATGTCAGGGACTTTGCCCTTCTCTGTGTTTGGAGCCCTTATGTACAGTCAACGGGACCCAAACACGCTCCGGGATCTCCGTCTTGCCCGGCTCAGGCGGGATCCCGCCCCGCGCTGGTTCTGTCCTCTGCCCGGCCCTTCCTCTTCTCTCTTTCCTGCTGGCATTAATTTCCACTTTGCTGTTTTTCTCTCCCCTTCCCTTTTTTCTCTCGCCCTGCTTTTCCATTCCTTCCCTCACTTTCTCCCTGGCGTCGCATGGGTCTTAGAGCCGCGTTCTTTAACAGTCCTCTGTCCAGCGTCTGCGCTTCCGCGTCTCTACGGCCCCGCGGATTCCAGTCCCCAATCCTCCGCACTGTGGTCGGCAGGCCACCGGCCACCGTTCTCCCGCGTTTCCGGGAACATGCCCTTCCGCCCTGCCTGCTCCCTTCACACGTCCTGGGCCGCGGACCCTGACTAATGGCCGGTCCCTGCTGTGTGTGGGGTGTTGTGTTTTTTTCTTGTCTCTCCCCAGCAGGGCACGGGGGTGTGAACCAGCTCGGGGGGGTGTTTGTGAACGGCAGGCCCCTGCCCGACGTGGTGAGGCAGCGCATCGTGGAGCTGGCCCACCAGGGTGTGCGGCCCTGCGACATCTCCCGGCAGCTGCGGGTCAGCCACGGCTGTGTCAGCAAAATCCTGGGCAGGTGAGGGCCTCGGAGCTGCCCCTGGGAGGTGCCCTGTCTCCTTCCCCAGCTGGACGGCCCTGGGTCTCCAGCTGAGGGCTTGGCTATAAGTCTGGGTCGCCAGCGGGAGAGGGAGATTCCTGACTCGGGGTATCTGGAGAGCTACTCCTTTTGCAGAGGGCACTCAGGTGGTGACCGGGGCCCCAGGAACCAGAGTGGAGCAGGGCCATCCAGCTCCTGCCCAGCTCCAGGGTCCTTACCAGGAGGTAGCCCAATTCCCATCTTCAGAAAGGGAAAGGAGGTTCCTCTCTTTGGGAGGAAGGGTTGGAGGAATAGGGTGGAAAGTAAAAACGGATCCCTAAGAGGAGAAAAATCAGCCTCGGGTGGTAGAAGGATTGTTCTATTCCGAAAGAAGCTCTGTGCTCAGTGGGAAAGGGCTGGAGGTGGTCCCTCGGTCCTGGTCAGCATGGAAGCCTCCAAGTACTCTTCCTCCTGCACTTCGCAAATGAAAGACCAGGCTTTCACTCTCAGGGGTGCCTATTCCTGGTGTGAGCACAGCCCCTGGTATGACCACCTCCCGAGAGAGGGAGCATCCTAGTTGTCCTCCCCTTCATCCTCCGCCAAGTGGACTCAGACACGCTGAGCCGCAGACACGCTGCTTTGGGTGTGAGCGTGGCTCAGCAGCTCCGGAGTCAGCAGCCCCTCTGTCCCTGCCACCACTCGCTTCTCGCTGACCCTGCCGGCCTTCCCGGGGCAGGTACTACGAGACAGGCAGCATCAAACCCGGAGTGATTGGTGGCTCCAAGCCCAAAGTGGCAACGCCCAAAGTGGTGGACAAGATTGCTGAATACAAGCGACAGAACCCAACTATGTTCGCCTGGGAGATCCGGGATCGGCTCCTGGCAGAAGGCATCTGTGACAACGACACAGTGCCCAGCGTCTCTTCCATCAACAGGTGAGCATGCCGGGCATGGCATGGGGAAATGGGGCTCCAGCTCCCAGCTCCTGCCCACCAGCGCTTCTCCCAGCACCAAGTCTCCATTCTTTCTCCAGCCTCCAGCTTTCCTCCCTGCTCCCAGCCCCAAAGTCCTTTGGGTAGGAAGAGGGGACCTCGGAGACAGAGAGGTAGACACACAGACAGGGCTGTCTCCAGCTCAGGATTGGGTATTCCCTGCCAGGCTTCTCCCGCCGGCGTCCTGGAAATGAATCCAAGTGTTTGTGGTAATTAAGACTCCAAGATTACGCGTCTCGGTATCTAGAGACAATCTCAGCCCAAAGCCGAAGCCTTTAAAATGACCAATGTCTATTTATCACCTCCAAACAGACTTCCCTTTCTAAAGGCATGCTCTCTTTCCCAGGGGCAGTCACCTGTCCTGCCTCCCCTGCCCTCCCTGCCAACTCCCACAAAGCTGGCCTACCGGGAGCCCAGGCCTTGCTAGCCAGCTCTGCACAAATTTCTGGCCTACTAGCACCAGTATCCAGGCCTGCAGAGCAAATGCCAACCACCAGCCAGCAGTTGGCAGGAAAGAGAGGAGCTGGGCAAGGAGTGGGACACCAGATAGGGAGGAAGAACTCCGGACCCTGAGGCTGAACCTTAGGAGATGCCTCCAATCATCTAGGGTGCCTATGTCCAGACCTAAGTCTCTGCTAACGACAGTCTTGGGCACATGGGGACAACTCAGGCTAGAGTCAGCTCGCCATACAGTAGCATAAGATAGTCAGTCTCCCCATCCCCAAGCTAGTCCACTGTGCTCTCTGGGAGAACATGTGCACACTCCATGTTTTACCCCCGGCAAGTGTGCACATGTGGCCAGTACAGCACAAAAAACTTCCACATCACAGAACCGTACAACCTGACATCAGCAGAAATGCTGTGCAAGTTCCAGACAGCCTTGGACAGATTTTCTACCCCTGTCCACACCCCTCTCACCACATTTTAAGACAAATCCCCAAATGAGAAGGAAGCTGAGGGTTTCATACCCTTGTTTTTCTTTACACTCTTCACAGGCTCATTATCAGGACAACTAATAATTCAGATGGTGCCTTTTTCTGAAACTGGCATCATGTATTAAGATTTTTAAAAATATTTTGCAAATGATATGGAATTATCCCAAATCATCCTGAAAACAGCAGGTAAAATTAGCTGGTAGAATGTACCTTGGCTAAAGAAGATTCCCTCTGCCACACTCCTGCTGTAACGTACTGCGAGGCGACCCCAGAAATTATCCCAGTGTGTGCCATCTGTATTAAAATGGTTATTCAGTTATGAACAGGGTAACATAATACTGATCAGCTAATTATACACCTTCCGAAAACCCTCCAGCTCCCTGGGCCTGGCTCAGCTAGGTATTGAAATCGTAGCAGTGTGACATTCAGACACCATAGGAAGGAGCTGGAGAAAGATTTCGGGTGGTTTTTGGGAGAGGAATGAGTATTTTGCATTTAAAAGCCAGAGGAGGAAGCTGGGGAAGCTTTGTGGCTGGGATGGGGTGATGGTTAGGGAAGGGAAGGAAATAAAGCGTCAGCTCCTCTAGGTCTCTTGGCTGGCTGCTGGTCCTGGGAGTGAGTTGGAACTGAGGTCTTGGAAGGGGAGCAGCCTGCTGAGGAGCAGTGCTGCTGCGACTAGCCACCGGTGTTCTGGAGAACATTTGAGAGAAATGCTGATTGTCAGTGACAGGATTTGCAAGCCTTTGAAGGAACTCAAGACGTGTATGGTTAAGGCCATTTGCTTCTCTTGATGCATGGAGGACTGGAGCAATAAAGGCAGGTGTGCTGGCAGCACCCCTTGCCTAGCGCCATGTTTAGCACCCCTTGTCCCCTCCTCCCCAACATATACCCCTCACTGGCAGAGATGTTTTAGGAAGCTGGCTTATGCAAAAGTTGGGGAATGCTCTCATCCTGAAAAGTCTCCGGGAGCAGAGGACAGGTGACCCCAGGGTCAAGCTGCAGAGGCCTTGGGGTGCACTCACCAGAATTCGGAGCCATGGGTGGGATGAGAGGGGGAGAAAGAACCACCTCAGCTGGACAGCTCTGACAGCAGCAGAATCTGCTTGGAGCCCTATCACCCAAGGGGCACGGAGGCTTCCTTTGGTTGTGGACAAATAGCCATACGTGGGCAGGTGTCGCTGGCGACAGCAAGGGAGTAGGAGGAGAGGAACGGGGAAGCCACCGGCAGCATGGGCAGCCAGCCCTGGGTCTGTGGGTTGGCTCCCCAGCTTGCTTTGTCAACAAGGCACAGTCAGAATATTCTCTATTTCACTCTGAGGCAGAATCCTACCGTGGCTTATATTTTAGAAAGAATTCTGGGAGCTTCCCAGTGTGCTGCTGAGTCAGGGCTGGAGAGATGCATCTGGGCCCCATACCCTCAGCTTCATCCCTTTCGGTGCTTTGCTCTGAAGGGGGAAGGTGTATCTGAGATGTGTTGCTTCACCCTAAAGCCTGATAAGAGCGGAATTTCTGCTGGCACTGGTGATGCCAGGAACTTTGTGGATTCTCACTTGCTGTAGGAAGAGCCAGGGCATTTTCCTCTGTGCAGAAAGTGTGGTGCATTGGGGACTGGTTGGTTCTTGAGTTTAGAGCTTTACTGTTGGTGAGGTGCCCACTTGTGCTGGGGACTTTATAACCATCACCAGTAAGGGTGTGCCTGTGCTGGCTGTTGGCAAGAAAGGAAGTCCACACATGCTTACCCACCTGGGCCAAATGGTAAGGTTTTTCCTCTTCTCCTCCCCTAAACAGATGCTGTCACTGCACTTGAAATACGCTATTATGGTTATAAACTAAATTGCTTTTCATGCTTTAAAAATGGTTTTGGCTTTCTCTGATCCTGTCGTGATAAACGCTTGGGCATCAAACCCCCATTCTCCATTGGCACATCCTCATAGAAATACCTATCTGAACCAATGGAGTAAGTCAGGAAGGCCTCCCAACCCCACCTCCACCCCCAAAAACCACTGTCAAAAATTCCAAGAGTTGACTGGATTGCTTAGAATTGTGTGGAATTTATCTGAATGACTCTCAACATTGGGTTACTGATCTCTGAATGTGGAGTTGCCGGCTCTTCAGCTTGTATACCGCCGCTGTGGAGAGCGAGTGTTTATAAACAGGTGACTTAAGATTGAAACCTGGTGTGGGAGATGGCCCAGAGGAGGGAGGAGATGGAGGAGATCCATGATTCTGAAAGAGGGGAAGTCACCTAGTTACACTGCTGAGCAATTGGCTAGGCAGAAAAGAGTTTCCTGATTATATGCCAAAGTCTTCAGGTTTGGCTCTTGCTCTGGGCAGGGAATACAGCTCCTTTGATAGGACAGGCGCAAATAGAGTCTAGGGTTACTGACGATCCCCTGAGAGCACTGTCTTGGAATGAGCTGAGAAGGCCATTGCTCTCTTAACTTGTCCAGCCCGCCCTATACTCTTTGGAGTGCCCTGCTCCCAGGTCTGTCAAGTGGACCCTTCCAGAGTCATTTTCTCATTGATCACCTGCTACCCACACCCTCTCTTAGGCTGTTTGGCTCTAGGTGAGCACATTTATTCTTCTTGCAGTGGCAACGCTGGCTTCAGGAAGGATACAGCCCCAGGGCTGTTAAAGAATTCCATCCCATATCATCTGCAGGTCTTCATCAGAGGTCTGGCATTGGGGTGACAGTGGTCTAGCTGTTCATTCAAAGACCTTTCCAAATAAACTGAGAGCCACTCATCCTAGCCAAGGGAATTCTGAAGACACATGCGGGGCTGGGGCCGGTGTCTCCCTCTCTGAAACTCAGGTTCTAGAGCATTGCACATTTGACTCTTGGACCTGGCATGTCATGAAGCTGGGCTGGAGAGGCAGCCTTGCCGCCTTTTCTCCAGACCCTTGCAGCTGTGTGGTGTTCAGGGCTGTCAGTCTTGTGGCAAAGAGCCAAGGCAGGTTGGTAGGTAAAGGAGAAGACTTCTCCCCACAGAGGAATGGGAAAGTTAAGGACAGAGAACTTGTTTTCCGTGGCTCTAGTCCCACCAGATCGGGCTACAAATCGGGCCACAGACAAACATGCCAGTTTCTTGCTCACCTGTCCATCCCCAGAGAGCACCTCCTGCTGCTGGTCGTTAGAATAACATGAGAAATAGTCCTGACTGTTGGTCTTCTTATTCCTTAAAATGAGCTGTCCCCTTGAAAAGCCGTTTTTGTCCCCGTAGTTGTTTTAGACTTCTTGGCCAGCAGTTGTATTGGTCTGAGTGTCGCCCCACTGGCGGGCACCGAGTGGGCAGGCAGGCCACAAAATGGCTTTCAGGCGAGAGCAACGGCTGGTTGCCCTGAGTTCTTACCTCAGCTGGCGACTCTAGGAAAGAGAAAGACAGGAGGTGTGGTCCCTAACGAAAGCTCCAGGTGGGTTTTGGAGGGTGATGCAAAGAGGAAAAGAGAGGGAAAATCCTAAATAAATAAATAAAGTGTGCCCCAACTATTCTGAGAACTCAATAAAACAATCACATCAAATATGAAGAGGCATAAATCTTGTGTCTGCACAGGTAACCTACTCAATTGCTTTTATTATCGCTCAGGCTGCCTCCATTTATTACCGTCCACTGCCTGGGCAAAGGAGGTTGCGTGGAGGGTGGTCTCCAGTGCAATCCTACACCCCGAGAGGCAACAATCAGCCCATACAGCCAGGGATTTCGATGGGAGCTCGGGAAGGGCCCATCTGTCTGCATGAAAACCAATCAATAACTCTGTAACCAGAGCCCTTGTCACAGGGAAATGGACAACACAACAGTTCAATACAGGGGCCACAGGGGGAATGAGCCAAGTGGAGATGGGGCCAGGCAGGAGCAGCCCCTAGAGAGGGAACTGGGGTGCCTGGACAAGGGGGACTGTTGGAAAGGGAGTGGGATGGGGCAAGGGAGTGCGATGGGGCAGGGGAGTGCAATGGTTTTGTGTGCATATTGGCACAAGGGGGGGATTATTGTGCAAAATAGATCCAGGGG